TAATGTAGTTAATCTGCTATGATTAGTTTGTTTAATATCGAATCATATCAATTTGTTTTAAAGCACAATAAATAACAAAGAAGACCTTTGACCGGCACTTTTCTCATTTTGTCCGGAAGATTTCAACTTTAACGGACATTTTGACCGGTGAAAAAATATTCTAACGGGAACTCTGACACTGGCTTAAGCAGGGGAACACGTCTGGCACTGCAGGATTTGAGTCCCTGGCGGCGTAGTGTGTTACTGATGGTAGCCTTTGTTACTTTGGTCCCAGCTCTCTGCAGGTCATTGACTAGTTCCCCCCCCGTGTGGTTCTGGGATATTTGCTCACCGTTCTTGTGATCATTTTGACCCCACAGGGTGAGATCTTGCGTGGAGCCCCAGATCGAGGGAGATTATCAGTGGTCTTGTATGTCTTCCATTTTCTAATAATTGCCCCCACAGTTGATTTCTTCACACCAAGCTGCTTACCTATTGCAGATTCAGTCTTCCCAGCCTGGTGCAGGTCTACAATTGTGTTTCTGGTGTCCTTTGACAGCTCTTTGGTCTTGGCCATAGTGGAGTTTGGAGTGAGACTGTTTGAGGTTGTGGACAGGTGTCTTTTATACTGATAACGAGTTCAAACAGGTGCCATTAATACAGTTAACAAGTGGAGGACAGAGGAGGCTCTTAAAGAAGAAGTTACAGGTCTGTGAGAGCCAGAAATCTTGTTTGTTTGTAGGTGACCAAATACTTATTTTACCGAGGAATTTACCAATTAATTCATTACAAATCCTACAATGTGATTTCCTGGATTCTTTCCCCCCATTCTGTCTCTCATAGTTGAAGTGTACCTATGCAAATTACAGGCCTCTCTCATCTTTTTAAGTGGGAGAACTTGCACAATTGGTGGCTGACTAAATACTTTTTTGCCCCACTGTAGATCACCTTTAGACAAGATAGGACAACATGTCATACAAACTACTACAAATATGTTGAATCGCACATGGACACTTATAGTGGTTAGAAGACTTGGTAGAATGTGTCTTTGTTGGCACATGTACTTTTTGACATTGCCTCACAAGTTTGTTGAATTAACAGTAATGGTGTTAAAGGACTTTGAGGCTCATGAGACCGGCTTCATTTACAACAACACTTCAGGGCGGCAGATCAAGTACCCTGCTCGCGAATGGGGGTGTGTAGTAGACACAATGTTAGTGGTCACATGCACACACACACACACACACACACTTACTCACTATGCAAGTGTTGGTTGGAGGAAGATGGATTGCACTAGGATAAGGAAAGTGGCAAAGTAGACACTGAGAGCTGGCATTGTGTGACACAAGTGACATCTATCATGGCTGACTTTGTTCCTTGGACAGGGTTTTCTGCAAAGGAAGCATCAACAAATGAATGTCATTTTATATTTAAATATATCTTATCTTGCCTCAAAACCGACAAGTAGTCTTTATCAGGTTTTATTTGTGTGGCCTTTTTTTTTCTTTATTTGATTGTTTAGCAACCTCCTTTAACCTGTGAAAAAGGTCCCAAGTCTGGAAATTGAAGCGGGCATGTTGCAGTAATGTCATATAAAGATTCTGCAGCTATGCAAGCAGCTCTGTGATGCTGTACTGGGGTACGGCAGAGCTTTGAGGTAAATACTAACTTTATCTAACTGTGTGGTCAGCCCCAGCAGATCACACCATACAAGATGGCTGATGCCTCCACAGAGTCAGAGGTCTGCAGGTGGGCCCCCTGCACTCCAAAAGACCTCAGTCTCCTCAGCACTCTGAGTTACACTCTGCTCTGTCCCTTCTTATAGAGACCAGTGCGGTTATCTGAGCTGTCCAGTTTATTGCTCAGATGAACACCAAGGTACTTGTAAGATCAAAATCTCGACGTCCGCTCCCTGGATGTTCCATTGTGTGGGGGTGTGTGTTGGCGCTGTCTGAATTCCACCACCAGTCCGTCCTTGGTCTTACTTGAGTTGAGCTGCAGGTGATTCCTCTGGCACTAGAGGGTGAAGTCCTGCGTCAGTTCTCTGTACTACCTGTCGTCCCCTTTAGGCCGACGATGGCAGAGTCGTCAGAGAACTTCTGAAGGTTGCAGTGTTGTGGGTGAAGTCTGCAGTGTAGAGGGTGAAGAGAAGCGATCCCAGCACCGTTCCCTGGGGGGTCCCTGTACTGCAGATGATCCTGTCTGATTGACAGACACTCCCGGGCCTTAACGCACTTAGGTCATACCAAGTCTCTGTGAAAAGTATGTCAGTGGCTTGTCATTTGATCCTGTAGGCTGTGTGCAGATGGGTTTTCCACAGACTTCATCATCTTAGTGCTGCCAGCAGAGCAGAGGTGTTAGGTTCCCGCTCGGATAGGACAGGATTACCACCTGATCTCTCAATAGGAGCTTATAGTCTAACAGGTTAACATTGCTATGCTAGTAAACCAACAGCTCAGATCAATGCTGTTTGGTTTCTCCCTACATCGCTCTCCTGCATACCTGAGCTAACTCAGAGGCAGGTTTCTCAGTAACTGTCCATAAAGAGACATAAGGCTGCTGGTAATTAGGGTAATGGCCCCAGGTATATGGATACGGGGGCTTCCTTCTCTGCCTGGCTTTGTTTGCTCCTCTTGTTTTTCATCAGTGTTTAAATGTGTTGACCTCTCTCCCCAGGTCTCAGCTCAGGAGATTACTTTCACTGGGCTGCTTAAGCACCATCATATTTTCCACCTCTGTCCACTACTAGGTGATGGTAGTACGAATTGACACTGACAGTGTGAATATTTATTGTAAATATCCTATTATAACATTACGGTGACAGATGACATCTGTTAATGATTAGGTTTTTGGTTTCAGATATTAACATTTAGTAAATTGTAACAGCAGTAAAGAAAGAATTTATATAAAACAAAGTCGTGGTAAAACAATAAAAAATCCTTAAAAATGACATGAGCTCGAGCAATAGATGAGACACTGGGATGAATATTTGTAACACAGCTTAACATTTTGACACTAAATTGCTAAGGACTTGTTGCTGGTTTGTGCACTTTGTCCACCTCCAATCAACTTTCATTTGTCTCCACCAACCCATGAGAAAAATCTTTGCATTAGCGGCTAAATGCTCTCAACACACACGTTTCACCACCTAGTCTCCTTACAGTGTCTGTCTTCTGTGCTGCTGTGTCTGAAAGTGTTTACACTTAAAACAGCTACGGCTGGAAACCAGATTGATAAGAGCCTGAACACTATACCAAATGTTGCCATAAAACCAAAACAATGAGTTAAAAAAGGATTCAAAGTCTTCTTTGAAGACTTGCCACAACAGCAATGCTGGTGTTGTTTTCCCCTTGTGAGTCTGTGTGTGTCGTCATGGCTAAAAGTGATCCTGGAGACACCTAGCATGGAGGTACCAGCAGGTTCTGAGTATTTGTCAAGTGTTTATATTTCTGTCTGTCTAAGGATAGATTTTGTCACTACAATAGCGTCACAAACATGAAAGGTACAGTCACGTAACCCAACAGGTGTCAATATGAAGGTGGTGTTAAAAAAATTGGTTGTGGCTGGAGTAAGTAAGCAATTAACAACAAAGGGGCCATTGCCTCTGGCCTGATTTGTAGGGATGTAACGATACCAAAAACTCATGGTACGATAATATCGCGATTAAAAAGTCCACGGTACGATATTTATCGCGATATTGAAAAATAAAGGGAAAAAAAATGTGAATTCTTTTTTTCTTTCTTTTTTTTACTTGAATTTGTTTTTGTTTTTCTTTATTAAATAATAAATCAGATTTTTACAGCATTTTAGTAGGATAGTAGTATTTTAAAGTGTCAACAATATAATAATCAGACCCTGCAATAGAATAAATAAAGTTTCACTTTAGTTTTTCAAGTAACTCAACTCTAACTCACTCACTCACTCACTCACTCACTCACTCACTCACTCACTCACTCACTCAGCATCATCAAGGTTATCTTTTAGGAATATGAGCATGTCCACATTTCCAGGTAGAAGCTGGGATGTTTGGGCGTTTACAATATCCCCTGCTGTGGAAAAAACTCTCTTGCTTGGTACTGATGTTGCTCGGACAGAGAGATATGCTTTGGCCATGGGTGACAGCAGTGGGTCAAACTGTGCATTGTCTCTCCACCACTTCAAAAACAATACAGTTGTTGCCAAGAAGGTGAGGCTTATTGACAGGGCGAGATATATATATATATATATATATATACTGTTGGTACTTGTCAATGTCTCTAGGTATGTACATGTAGCCCTGTAAATACGATGTCCTTTTGTGTTATCTGTTATTTTATGTTCATGTTGTAACCTACTTGCTGCCATGTTGGACAGGTCTCCCTTGAAAAAGAGATCGATGATCTCAATGGGACCATCTGGTTGAATAAAGGTTTATAAAAATATATATATATTTACATTTTCTTTTTTAAATCGCGGTATAATTTGTCAATCTCACGACGGTATTGAGACATTTATTTACCGCGATATTCGATATATCGTTACATCCCTACTGATTTGACATCACTACACTTTTATGGAGGCAAAGTATAGATTATACAGATATTAAGCCAGTCTTCAGGGATGATATCATAATATTTTAAGGACCACAGAGGACAATATTACTATGTCCATAACTGCAATTTGTAAATCAATAATACATAGCTTCAGAAGCTACGAGAGGCTGGATTGTTTTTATGAGGTGCACTTTGACACAGCCGCCAAAAGATAGCTGTGAGCAAAGAAAATGATGCAAAGCCATCTTGCGTCTGAGGATAGTGTAAACATTAATATAATACTCCTGCCTTCTCAGCTGCTAACTTACAATATTAAATTAAATCTTTCAGATAGTACAAGTTCTTGGTGGACAGCGCTGAGAAATGTACGGTGTGTTCGCAACCCAACGAAACACTAACATCTGTTTCTCCCAGCCTACCAGACTGTGTGCACATTTAGTTCACCATGAGGGTCGCACTAACAAAATAGTTGTTTAATTTGTCTCTCAGCTCAGCACTGATGGGTTCTGGAAGTCGGTGGCCAAGAGCGTTCCAAGGGAGCCCAGCGACATGCGCATCCTGAACCCCTACTTCATCCAGGAGGCCTCCTTCAAGCTGATTGGCTTACCTCACAACCGTGGACAGATGGGCCGAGGGGTGAGAGACCTGTTGTTGTCCTTGAAGTCCCTTTTTTTTGTATGTAGAGAGGCAACAGTGGGCTGTTAATGGTCAGCACTGGAGCTCCACTGTCTGTTTGCATTATGAAAGCCTCCGTGAACACACAGCAGATGCTGCAGGGAGCCGAGCACCTACAGAGCCTGAAAACAAAGTGTTACCATTAGGCTGTTTATAAATAGACCCATTCTTCAGATTTCACATCTGTAAGATATCAACACAACAAGCATACAGTTTAAATAACATGTTCACTGCATGCTGAACATGTTCTGGTTCTCGTACACACTCTTGATTTATGTCTGTTTCAGAATATACCAACCCTGGGGACAGTTGCCATAACGATGGCCCTTCACAACTGTGATGAGGTAGCTGTGGCTGGATTTGGCTACAACATGAGCACCCCCCACGCCCCTCTGCATTACTATGAGAAGATCAGGATGTCAGCTATCAAAGAGGTAACTTCAGAACTGATTTGGTTTGATACTACATGTATACAAGTACTAAAACTGATGCTGGACAGGGCAGAGCTTTTTCTACAGTTCATTAAGCTACTTTTATCTAGACATGTATCCCACCTTTTTTTTTAATTCATTCTTCATGTTAAAGGTGGGGTAGGTAAGTTTGAGAAACCGGCTCGAGATACACTTTTTGTTATATTCCATGGAATGCTCTTAACATCCCGATAGCAATGAATATCTTAAGTGCTTTGACAAAAAATCCATAAAAAAAGTCATCTGTGGAAGCCGTAGTGCTGTAAAAAGCACCACCAATCATTTTAGCCGGCCCGGCTAAAATAACTGGATGGCCTACCTGCCTGTCAGCCTTCCATCTGTGCACAAACTTATCTCGTGCCCTCATTGGTCATGTGCGCGTTCGTGTGTGTTAGAGGAGGGGCTCTGTAAGGAAGTGGCAGATTTTTTCCGGCTGTGTATTTTCAAATTCTAGCACACTCGAGCTGGTTTCTCCAAAATGACCTACCCCACCTTTAAATACACTTTACATTTCTTAAATATCGTTATTGTTTTTGCTATGTGTTTTGTCTTTTGTACTTATTTGGTCATAAAATGTGAAAACAATTAAAATAATTCAGCAGTGGTGCCCCCCCTACATTATGTATATCTCAGTGGACATACATTTTTAGCACCGACTGACAACATCAATACTGTTATTTGATTGGTGCATCTGTGGGATGGGTGCTAAAATAGTTTAAATAACTTTAATTCCGACAGGGACACAGAAGGTGAAAATGTTAACAGATGCTCCTTTCTATACATGTAAAAGTAGTCAGAGTTGCAGCGGACCTGCAGGTTTCTGGGAGTTTGTTCCAGATATTTGGAGCATAATAACTGAACGCTGCTTCTCCATGTTTAGTTCTGACTCTGGGGACAGAAAGCTGACCAGTCCCTGAAGACCTGAGAGATCTGGATGGTTCATAATTTAGCAGGAGATCAGAAATGTATTTTGGGCCTAAACCATTCAGTGCTTTATAAACCAGCAGCAGTATTTTGAAATCTATTCTTTGACACACAGGAAGCCAGTGTAAAGACTTCAGAACAAGAGTGATGTGATCCACTTTCTTAGTGTTAGTGAGGACTCGAGCAGCAGCGTTCTGAATCAGCTGCAGCTTTCTAATAGATTTTTTAGTGAGACCTGTAAAGACACCATTGCAGTAGTCGAGTCTACTGAAGATAAAAGCATGGACAAGTTTTTCCAAATCCTGCTGTGACATTAGTCTTTTAATCCTAGATATGTTCTTTAGGTGATAGTAGGCTGATTTAGTAACTGTTTTAATGTGACTGTTGAAACCAGGTCAGGTTGTTTTGAACATTGCAGGCTGAAGCTCAGCGCTAACTTGTATACATTCTGCCAACACATTGATATGCTAAGTTGCAGGACATCTCTAAGCAGTTGACCAATCACAACAGAGCTGGCCAGCTAACCAGAGCAGACTGGGCTCTGGTTTTAGACAGAGGGTGAAAAGAGGTGCTGCAGCACAGGCAGTATGAGAAAAAGAAAGAGCTTTTTGAACATTAAAGCATGGAGACATGTCCCAGTAGAGGCACTAAATACAAATATATGATCCTGAAAATATGGTTAATAGGGCCCCTTTAACTGATGTAAAGGTAAAGAAAGAGCAAATCATTACTAGTTGCTACACTGAGAAAACAAAAAAACATTGACTTAAATTAAATGCATTTTGTCAACAGACTTCACATTACTGTATTATGTTAGTTGAAAGCTATAATACAAGTATAAATAAAAAATATTAGGTTCAACTTAATGTTATTGCTTTCAACTAACATAATATTGTTATGTGAAATGTGTTAAAATGTAATTAAAGTCAATTTTTCAGTGTAGCTTACACCATGTGTATTTTTGAAAAAGGACAAAAAATAGTTTGATGTTCTCCAGTCATTAGTGCAGGAGTATCATTATACTAAAGATGATGCTTTTGCTCTGACGCCCACTCACAGGCTAAGACGCTGTCTCCACAGAAAGTTGTCTGAAATATATTTTATTCCCTTTTGAATATATAGTTTATATGTTTTAATTTGTGAGAAGCGAGGAGAATTCATATTTCTGGTTCACTGAAGTTATTTAGGAGAGAAACCGTGTTTGTTTTTTTGCAACATTTTTGACACATTAGTAACCCAAACTAGTTTACAGTTCAGGTTCCATATTTCCTGCTCATTATCCCACTCTTAATCCACAACACTCATCAAATGTTAGCAACCGATCGACCGATATCGTATTTGTTAGTCTTCCACGTTTATGCTGCACTGGAACAGTTTACTGTGACCTTTCTCTCATTTATATGCCTCTCAGGAGGGATTTACCCAGCATGCTGCTTAGTGGCCTGGATGTGTATGAAATCTCAAGTATAGGAACGTTGCTGGGTGTAGTCACGGCGCACTACATGCATACAGGGCCTAAACCGCCATTCAGTCCACTTCACAGTGTCCAGCCTGCTCATAAATCACTCTCAGCCCAGGTTACTGAGACAGACATGCAATCCCTTCATCCTATTTTCACCGCCTGACACAGACTTGTGTTTCAGTCGGAAGAGGCGCAGAGCTGCTGGGCCGCTGCCATGTATAATTGAGACTGGAACTCATTCCTACACTCCTTCATTAGCCAACATGGACTGTGTTTTTTTTCTCTTGGCAAGTAGCAAAATCCATCCATCGGAATAGGGATAGTCTTCATCATCTCTTTTAAACTGGATAACATAGTGTCAATGATTACTTTTTTTATATTGCAATACATTTAGTCAATCAATAATACAAATGTAATCGCAATGATAATGTGTGAGTAGTCTTGATTAATCACAGGTTTAAAATACTGGTATTTACTTGTATAATTGGTGGGAGATAGAACAAATACACGTGTGGTGTAGTAATAAATAAATACATAAACTGGTAAGAAATCAGATGATTGATTTCTGAATTATTGGAATGAAGTACGAACATTTGCCGACACAAATCCAAAGCGTTAACAAACCCACTGTCACGGAGAGCTGCTATGATCGCCTTCTGTATAGTGTCCTTAAATTGAGGTAGTGGTGGTTGTTGCTGATGGTCAGTGGTCTCCAGTCGGTGCATTACATGCAGCTTCCGCACTGTAGTTAGGGAAGGAAGTTGGTGTCTAACTTTGGTGTGTGTGTGTGTGTGTGTGTGTGTGTGTGTGTGTGTGTGTGTGTGTGTGTGTGTGTGTGTGTGTGTGTGTGTGTGTGTGTGTGTGTGTGTGTGTGTGTGTGTGTGTGTGTGTGTGTGTGAATATGTTAACGTTTTTCATATTCATTCACAGTCTTAATTTAAATAAAAATAAAAAAAACTATTATTTTCAGTTACCACAATTTCAAATATAACATAAATGTTTAAAGCTTTGCTAAACAAGCATGTTTTTTATTTTTATGTTTTGCTGACAAAACAGACAATTTCTTGTTACTTTTTTACAGTATAAGAAATATTAGCCTAGGTCACTTAAAGCAGATGCCTTCGGCTGTCTCTGGCTGTCACAAGACCCTCACCATACCAAGATGTGATCACAATGCGAGGAGAAAGGAGACTAAGTGTTCTCTTACAGTATTAGGACCCGGTGTATACCTTGGGACCTGTGATCAGATGTCATTATCCAGATAACGTATCCACAAAGATCGAGTGTTAGCTTATGGAGATAGCTTTTTGTCATCCCATGACAGTACGCAGCAGGAGTATAGGATGATCCTAAATATCCTAAACAGTTTTGTGTTTTTACATTATTCCAAATGTTTTCAACAATTTTCAAACCCAGAGAAGTCTGTCAGACGTATGATGACATATGCCCTTGAGAATGTGTCAGTATTTGAACCACACACTTTTAAATCTTTTAACTCGACATTTGAAATGGATGAAGGATTTTATTCATGGGTCTTAAGTTATCAGAGAAACAAGCTGAGCAAAAGTAAGCAGCAGCGTAAGCGGCATGACATAGCTTTACTTATTTTCCCTTTCTAAATAAGGGTTATCTACGGTGGCCGACAATTGCAAACGGGCCAAAACATTTTCATTAGCAGAAACAAGAGTGCTTCTTGACGTTCAGGGATTATAAAGATGGCCAACAGTCACTGTTGGTGGGAAGTTTCCTACAATGTAAGTTTGATTGGCTTATTATAACAATGTGATCACATCATTCCTTCCGAACTAGGTTAACTGGTTTAGAAAGCTAGCTACTAGCAGATCTGCAATAATATTGGAATGAATCATAAACTGTTTCCATCAAGAGTTACAGTTGGCAAACTTTATAATCCCAAAACCGGTTCCAGCAATATGGGCATTTTTTTTAGTTTGCAGTGTTTTGTATTTGCAGCATTTTGCTAAAGGAGCGCTTTTAGTAAACGCTGCACATATTTAGTCAGGTTAGTGAATTTGTTTCCAAGTTGGTGAAGATGATTCTTCATTTCCATGTGTTTTGGCACATTTGTGATTTTATATTTGCATTATTTTTGAAGCTGCAGCGCATTTCTTCCAATGGGAATGTTTTGGGCCATTGTAGCGAATTTGCACCTGACGGCCACCATGGTTATTGGCCTTTTTACGGATGTGAACAAAACTCAAAAATATGTGTATCAATGCTCATTGATACACAACCTTTTTGTGCTTGGTTTATTGAAAGGGGAAATTGTATTTATTTTTAATAAAATGTTGGTTTAAAGAGTGAGACATTTAGAAGGTAGCCTGTTGAGTGTTGTCCACCAACTAGCTCCTGTCCTGTGTCTCTGTCTTCTCTGTAGTCCTGGACTCACAACATATCGAAAGAGAAGAAGTTCCTGCTGAAGCTGGTGAAGGCTGGAGTCATCCAGGACAGGACCAACGGAATCTGTGGAGCAGGATGCTGATGCTCTCCACTGCAAGACTTGTGAATGCAGCGCACCTCTACCTGCTCTGTAACCTGAAGAGAGAAGGCTCTCAGCAGAGAGCAGCAGCTGTCACACTGTGGTCAGTGCAGAGAGACCAGAACACACTGTCCTGCTGCTGTATTGAAATATTTCAAGCAATATGCCTCTGTTTCAAGCTCCTCTTAGCCGCATATTTACTGGAATGTGGTGCCCCGGCTCAGGTATATCTTCCGTTTTGGGGATCAGCACCTAGATCTGCTGCAGGCTGAGGAGAGGAGGATAGGATGAAGAGATGTTGGGTTCAAAACATTGAGCATGTGCCAAGTATAACTCTACAAGTGTCCTTCTGCTCACAGATCTGAATGTAAGTTGCATTAAACATATCGTCACATATTTATCCTCCAGTTTCCGTCGACTCAACCGTCCTGGACCATGTGTCAGAGCGACGAGGCAATCATTTCATTGAGTCGCTCAGATTTAGCATGAGGCTAATAAGCTGCCTTTTTTCACGAACATCACATTCCCTCCACGGACGCTGAAGAGTGATGTTTGTTCTTTAGCAACATACTACAATCCCTACAGACTCAGCCTGACATTAAGCTTCCATTTCTGAAGAGGGAAATTAACTTGAATGTAAACAAAAGGCAATCAAACTACGCTAATATTTATAATATGATGCTTATCATGTGTTACTGATTTAACCTTTTAAACACTATCGAAGTGTGTAATCAGCTGTTACATTGTGTTTTCGTTCCTTATATCAATAATGGCTACTCTAACAGAGATATAAACATAATCGATAGGCGCTTTCACACCGCAGTACTTTTCCCACTTTAGTTCCGACATAGTTCCGAAATGTTGCGTTCACACCAAAAGGAGCCGGAACTAAAATTAGTTCATGAGAACCTTTTCCGTCCCTGCAAGAGAGCAGGTACTTTCGTGGGAGAAAAAGGTTCCTATGTCTGATTGGCTGGGCGGAATGCAAACCACGCCCCGTAAAACTCCCAAAAAGTTTTGTGAAGCCGGCATTTTATTATCCTCGCATTAGCATTAGCCCGGCGCACGTACGCAGAGAAACTAACTTATGGCAACACAAAATAAAACATGGGAGCGGTGGAGATGAGGAGGTGTCGGCGTTCTGGCGATTTACTCGGAAGGCTTCAGTAGAAGCTGCTGGGAGTCCCAGCAGCTTCTACTGAAGCCAGTCCCCAACTCCGGGGACTTTGGGCGGCAGTATACACCGTGAAGTTGTTTGCGGCCTGCCAGTAAACCCAAAGCAGAAGAAGAAGAAGAGACGTCATCGGTTTAATTCTATAGAGTCTGGCTGCAGACCGCAGCAAGGAGGCGGATCGTATAGGGGCGTTTCCTAAAGGGTTATGAAGCCCGCCCCCACGTATTTCTTAAAGGTATATGACGCTCTCTGTTTCTCATTTATTTTAATGCTTTGAATGAATCATAAACGAACTTTGAAAAATAATAATTATAAATAATTTGCATAAAGAATGAAGAGTATACAACCCACAGAGAAGACAAATTCATAAATTGTAGGTATATCATTTTTCACTGTTTGCGCAGTGGTAGTAATTATTATTCAAATCAATCAACTACGTTTTATGGAAGATATTGCTGTATATCATTTAACAACATGAGTAGAGGTTTCTGTACACCTAAAATACTGAAGTTTAAGTTACTGTCCTGATGTGTATCATTCATTTGTTCATGTGGTAAGATTAATAAAAAAATAAGAAATATATATAGTACATACAAAGAGGAAAGTATTTATTAAACAAACATGTTATTCTTGGAAGGTGCCTCCAGCATCATAGAAACAGTCAATGCTGCAGAATCCTGCCAGCTCATCTTCCGAGTACATCCCAGAGAGTTGTCCTCTGCGCCCATGTCCCCTGTAGCCTTCCGAGTTTTTGAATGAGCTTTGATATTTATATTTTAATTGGATTTCTTATTAGTTTATGCAGCTCAAGGGGTCACATCATTTGTATAATATAACTAGTGTTTTTGCTTATCGATATTAGGAAGTTTTTATTATGTTACATTCTTTAACCTGTCTTTAATAGTGTTAGGTGAGCTATTAAGCATGTGTTAGATGACCAGTGACTCTTCTCTAATCATATTACTTTACCACATTTCTGATGATGCCATAACTAATGTTACATAATTATAGAAGACACATCCGAAGTGTTATTTTTACATATTGATTAGCAGCCGACATTTACTGAAAGGATGCGTCCGTCTCTCGTCTGGTTCATTACAACTAGTAGTTACAAACTGTTACAGTTACAACCTTAATCAGTACCGCACATCTTATTACTCAATTCAACCAACCAAGCTAGCCATGTTGTCTATCCGAATCCATACCATATTATTTGATTAAGTTACAGTATGTAGGGCAGGCCTACTTATATTTCCAAGATAATACAACAGTACACAACAGTACACTAGCATCATGCTAAGTGCTGGTTAGCATCACAGCATATACGCTAACCTTAGGTCAATTAGATGATCAGCTTTGGTAACACAAATCCGTATTGTTATCGAGCCTGATAATCTATTGACGATCTAAATTTAACGTTATTTCAACAGTAGAGTAGGCCTGGTTGCAAACGGGACTATAGGCCAACGTGTTTATACCATCATGCTAAGTTAGCATTTAATACCACAAACATTTTTACCACATACAACTATTATTTACTTTATTAACGCTTAACAAGGTTGGATAGTCGATGTTGTACTTTGATAACGAGACAATTGTGTGTTAAGAAAAATGACATTACAATAAATATAAACATGCATCTCTGGAAAATACTATTACCGCTGTTTCAACTTGTTGTTCGGCCATCGTGAAAGAACGAATGACTTATTCTGCGAGGATTTATAAAAGCAGCTGGAATCCCTTAAATTGCATTACTGCCACCTACAGTATGTATTTCTGCTGAGTGTCATTATTCTATTGGATAAAAAAAGTTAGGAAACCCCCCTATACGATCCGCCTCCTTGCTGCGGTCTGCAGCCAGACCCATCTCGTTTAATTTGCCTAATCCTCCCCCAGGGATTTATTCCGGTGTGAACGTAATCTGTATTTAGTTCATGAGAACTAAAGAGTTCTCATGAACTAAATTCTGATAAACCTTTGTGGGGAAAGTACTGTGGTGTGAAAGCGCCTATTCAGACACCAAATGTATTGAAAATGATTCGCTATTCCATGTCCCCATAGCAGAGTTCCCGTTAGCTGGTAATTACCGGACTACGACCGGTAAAATATGCTGAAGACCGGCAAATCTAAATCTCTCCGGTCAAAGTGTCCGTTCAAAATAATTTCCTTTTAGCGCAATACCACATCACTTGCGCAACTTGCGCCATTTATGTGACAGATAAGAATAGTCAATTCTAATGTCTAACACGTAATGTGGAGAAAGAGATGTCCTGGATGGGTTGATTGTGCGTTGATCTGTTGGTAATGCCTCGGGGTTCCAGTGGGCATGTAAACAAATGCATAATGCTGCGCTATACTTTGCGGCCTCACCCGGTTGCATAGCGACGCTTATTGTTTAGGTGTCTTTTAATAAGCAGGTAGTCATATCATTAGCTAGAACTAGCTGGATCTGATCGATATGGACATAAACGCGAGTCTAATCTGACGGGAGAGAGAGAGATCAGCTGCTGCTGACGAGTCGACACGCAGCTCTGCATGATCACATGCAGCGGTGAGCGGACAAAACACACTTCAGGTTAGAATATCACACGTAGCTATTTTAGTTACCTCTCAAACTACCGTAACTAGTTATAGATATGTTTAGTTTTACTGTCGGGTCACTCATTACTGATCCGCGAGCTGCATGATACTGACGGGCTGTCAGGAGAGGGAGAGTGCTCCGTTTATTATTCCCGTCCATCCATCCATCCATCCATCCATCTTCTCCCGTAAATTACTGTTCACTTTTGAATAATGTAGTTAATCTGCTATGATTAGTTTGTTTAATATCGAATCATATCAATTTGTTTTAAAGCTCAATAAATAACAAAGACCTTTGACAGGCATTCTCATTCTCATTTTGTCCGGAAGATTTAAACTTTAACGGACATGTTGACCGGCGAAAAAATATTCTAACGGGAACTCTGCCCCATAGTGTTGCATAATAGGGTGGAATATTGTATAACTTGGGAGTTAGTTTTTTCATTCCCGAAAAGTGTCCCTATTGAAGCAGATCATAGCAAATTGGTGCTAAATGTTTTGGGAACCCGTTTATCTTTTGGCTCTGCAGTCCTCTCGGCCTTCAAACTGTATCCAATCCAGTTTTTGGAGAAGGACATTCAAAACATATATTTTTCTTTCTGTCCAATCACAATTTAGCTGCAAAGAGTGCCTTCTGCAGCAACATTCACTTAAATACTATATTTAGGAAAATCGGACAACTTCAGATGCACTAAACGTCAAAATAATAATGATATTAATCTCCATTTGATTATATGACATGTGTTTTTATGTTCCTCTAAAACATAATCCTGCATTGGTCAAACAAAACTGAGCTGTGAAAACCAAATGTATTTTTAACATCTTATTTTGAGTGGAAAATACTTCCTCTAACCTAACATTCATGAATCAACCTTTACATCTTATGTAAACCGTAAAACAGTTGGTGAAACAACTTGAAACAATATAGAATATGTGTCAGCAGGAGAACAAGAGCCTACAATACTGCAGCCCTTTACTTGTTCCATTTTAGACCTTTTTGATAAGAATTGATTGTTGTTATTGGGTGAAAGAAATGTGATGTATCTCTTTTTATGGACTAGTTGACTGCTTTTTGGAAGACTCGTGAAATGCAGCAGTCGTGAAAGCCAGACAAGTTAGTACAAAAAGTTCTCGAAGATCTCCAATGTGCTCTATTTGGTGATAAGCCATAATTGCAGATGTGTGATCCAAACTGTATGACTATTGATTTTTCATATGAATGTTTTCACAGACACCCAGCGCAAATGAAAGGCCATTCTATAGCGAGCTATAGGCCCCATCACCGTTTAACTCATTTCGCTAAAGATAGTGATATCGATTTCAATGGAAATATTCCAGGCTGTAACTTTTAAATTAAACAGTACAGGCTCTGTTTTTTTCCTACATATTTTTACAACTGAAATGACGAAACAGGTTATGATCAAAATCAAATGTTTCATGGGGAAGGAAATGTGTGTAACATGCTTGTTAGTACTCAAGGGTGAACATTGTGTTTTTTTAATGAGGAAAAATACATTTAAAATTACATTTTGTTGGTTTAAAAAAATCCACAGGGTATTCTCAATTTGTTAACATTCACAGAACGGTGTCCAACTTTGAGTGGAATCATTTGCTGCTGTTATGTGAAAAAAGGTTGATTAAACACTGATTAACATTGATAGACAGGGGGGGGGTCATGGTGATGCTGGATGTGAAATCGATGACCCTTTCTCCTTCTATTAAGATGTTGCTGTTTATTGCCCTCACTCACTTCACTCTCAGGCCCAGCATCAGTCACCATCAGTGTCACTATATCAATGATCAATCACTCAATGTATTCACTGAGATCTACTGTATTGTGCTGTCTGTATGTTTGTGTTGCTTTATTCACTCTGGCCTGCATTCTCAACTAAGGCTGTTATATGGACGTTATGCTGGTCAGAGGCTCAAGCCAAAGTATTCATATTTCTTGAAAGCTGTGCATAAAAATCACGTTAAAGAATAAAGATATAAGTATGCTGTATTTTGCCAAGTCTGTTGTTTTTTTCGTGCTTTGACATTATAGTTGAGGGTTGTCCTTACGTATTTTCTTTCCAAACTTCTGTTCTTGTTTGGAAGTTCTTCCTGTGCTCATGAACTCAAAATCTCAGGACACTTGAAGGGAATCACTCTAGATAAGGCCTACATTTCCCGACAACTCGAGATTGAATTTATTCGATTTTTGGGGTTAAAGGTCACTGACTTGACATGTGTACAGTCCTTGGTAATCAGGAACACCCGGAGGGAATTCATCTGATTTCTTATGACACACATTATGCATACATTAATTTGAATAAAACATTAGCCTACCACTAATGGGGACATTTTTGCAATATTGAAGCTACTTTTATGACTATGAAGGATCTGGGTTCTTCCACCACTAAAAACATTTACATTATCAAAAGAATAAAATGGATAGATCAATATCGATCTATACAACATAGAACAACTCAATTTTATATATAGTCACTATAATCTTATGTAGAAATATTTTAGTGCCTTACCTATACATGTATTGTTCTGTATAACAGTCGTAATGATTTACCTTAGATATAGTATTACAGCAGATAATGTGAGGTCAGGTCACAATTATTTTGTGCCATAAATAAACAATGGACTATGAAACCATGAGCATGTATTGTTAATTGATGGTACAGTTTATTCTTAGTTCTGTTTGTGCTGCTATCTTGAATTGAAAAGGCAACGGGTGGACCTGAGCGAACACAGTACAGAACTGCACCCTGGGACCCCTGAATAGGTCAAGACATTTGATTCTATTAAATATTCAAAAAGATGTGATGTTGTTGTTCTCTACACTGTCACTCCCTGCCCATCTTAGCTCCTCTCACAGTATGCAGCTGCTGTTTTATAAGCAGTAGTCACATGTTTATGAGTGAATGGAGGTAAACACGAGGCGTGAGTGACTCACTGTTACTCATGCAAGGAAAGGCATTGCTGTTCAAATCTGTGTTACACTTTAATGACCGCTAAGCAAAGACAAACAAGCTAAGTTTAACCACTCGTTGTCATGTTAGTCTTACTCATCGCAGGGCCTGGTCAATGTGAGAGCAATACTAAGGACTGAAAAAGCATGTCATCAATGAAACATCTATTATTCTTAGTAAAAAAAGAACTAGACAGGATTTAAAGAGTCCTTTTTTGAAGATGACCAACTACAGTCTTTAAGGTATTTCTTACTTTCAAAACAAATCCTTTAAGTATGACCTGAGGATCGAACAGCATGACATTTGAAAAAACACAACAACATTTGGTGAGTGAGACTAGAAAAGGTAGATACATATTGTTTCATTTTTCCTCTTTCATCAAGGTCAACGTGTATATTTCTGATACCTCGGTTTATAGGACAAGGACTTGAAGTAATTTTCATGATTCTAGATTGTTTTGGTATGAGTTGTAGAGGGATGGAGATACAGTATCATCTGTAGAGATGTCTGCTTGCTCTCCAGTATAACGGAACTACATGGCACTCTGCCTGTGGCGCTTAAAGCCCATCTTCTCATTGGTTGTTGTCAGGGTGCATCAACCTGGCATCAACCCATCGGGGGCGGCGACATTTTTTTGAAATTTCATAACAACACAATTTCCCGATTTTGGATCAACAAAGTACATCTTATTATCTTATACTAACAGAACTGCGCCTATATTGCGTACAGCGCCCATACACTATGGCACCCCCCCCCCCAAAAAAAATCTAGTTGAACTGCCCCAGTTCAACTTCTGTAAAAAACAGAGGTTTATGTGAAATAGTTCTATTTTTAAAATAAATGGTTTTAGTGTGCAATATTAGATTTTAGTATTTGTGTTCATTTAAAATAAATCAAACTCCCAAAAAACGTATACAGCTTCTGTGTGCTTTTATTAACATTGGAATTTACTGTGTAAGCGGCCGCGGGAGGGGAGAGACTCTCCTGAAAGACTGAGCGGCTCTGATAACCTCAGCTCAGTGAGGTAAAGGCACACCTTTATATGATCATTATAGTTATAAAAAAATAAGAGAATAGGTGAAAAACAGGTATGAAATATATATGACAGTAAAAAAAAGTTGTTTCATATTGATGTTGAGAGATGTATCCATAGATC